GGCGACGCCGTGTGGGGCGAGAGAATCAGTCGGAACAGCGTGAAACGCAAGAAACGCGAAGGGACGGCGTCTTGAAGTGGGATGACACGGCAGCGCAGAGGGCGCAGGCGGCGGCCGCGGCGTCGAGAGCCGGAGGAGGAAGCTTTGCGGGTGAAACGGAAGGTGGCCCGAAAGTGGTGGCGGCCAAGAAGGCCTCTGCGTATAGCGTGCGGAAGTGGAGAAATGGGCTGGCGGACAGCGGGTTGAACGAGGGACAGCGTAGCGTCGTCCAGAAGGTGGCAGACCGGGTGTTGGCGCAAGAGTTCGGGGGTTCCGCGGGCGGCGCGAGAGCAGGCCAGAGTCGTGCAAATACGCAGCCCCTCGTGTGGATGTTGCATGGTGGTCCAGGGACCGGGAAAAGTTTCGTAATTGACAAGATACGGAAGGAGCTGCTCGAAGAAGAGATGGGGTGGACGCACGGCGTAGATTTCCAGGTGGCTGCGTTGCAGGCGACAAACGCGTCGGCTCTCGACGGGAATACTATCCACAGTGCATTTGGCATCGGTGTGTACGAAACAAAGGGATCCAATGCGGGGGGCGACGCGAGCTTGGAGTCGAAGAAGAAGACGAAGAAGGAGATGGCCGCGCAGCGTATGTCACAGTGGAAGTGGTTGATAGTAGACGAGGTGAGTATGGTCAGCGCGAACTTCCTGGCAGAGCTCGATTCGCAGTTGCGTTCGTGCATGTCAGCAGCAAGCGGCGCGAAGGTAGATGGAGACGGCGTGCCGAGGTCTTTCGGAGGGGTGAATGTGTTGTTCTGCGGGGACTTCTATCAATTGGAGCCGCCGTCAGGGACAGCCATTAATGCGCTTCCGACGTCGTACTTGAAAAACGCGAGGAAATACGCGCCGGGTGCCGCGGAGGACCATGGACAGTATATATTTTGGGGCGCTGGTGGCGAAGGCGCAGTGCAGGGAATGACTGAGTTGACGGAGTGCAAGCGCGTGGAGGACCAGGACGAGTGGTTCCTTGGAGTGCAGGACGAGTTTCGCCGAGGCACCTAGTCTGAACGCACGCGCAATTTTTTGCGTGGCAGACCGACGGATGTGCCGGGGTCGCGGGTGAACGGTGCACCGTTGTGCGGGAACGCGCGTTGTCTTGAAGACAGAGAGGCAGTTGCGAAGCAAAACGGGCTAGAATGCGAGACTTGCAAAGTTGAGCGGGAGAAGAGGAAGCTCGTCGCGACGTCGCCAGAAGACGCGCGGTTTCGGGAGGACAAATTCCTTGAAGCTGTCGCTATTTATGCGAATCAGGACATTCGTTGTCACGTAGGGAAGCAGAGAGGTGTGCAGTGGGCCAAGGAGCGAGGAGAACAGCTGCTCTGGGTCGCAGCCAGGGACCGCCCTTGCCATGGGGGGGAACAGAGGCGGCCGTGCACGGTGGAGGATAAGATACGTTGGCTGGGGTACCACGAGAAGGAGTGCGCGAGCTTGCCTGGGTGGCTGGCGCTGGCCAAGGGGATGCCCGTGGCTCTGGGAGATCACTTGGATCGGTCCGAGAAACAGCTTCTGCGGGGGCGCACAGCCACGATCCATGGATGGGTGCTGCACGAGGACGAGGTCGTGGGAGATGAAGAGGAGGAAGTGTTGTTGCATCTTCCGAGAATGATTGTGTTGGATTTCCATGCGAAGGAGTGGCACCTGCCAGGGTGGGAGCCGGGGCTGTATCCGATCTTTCCATCGAAAGGGCGGCAATGGTTCTTGGACGGGTATCGGAAGCATCCTGTGTTGAGTGTGAAGCGCACCCAATTTATGATAACCCCGGCTTTGGCGGTAACGGCGCATGCTGCCCAGGGACGGACCATGGCAGCAGTGATAGCTGACCTCGAAAGAGGGCGCGGCGTGAGTTGGATGTACAGTTACGTTGCCATCACGCGCGTGCGCAGACGGGAGAACCTGCTGATCTTCCGGCCGTTTGATAGGAGACCGCGCAACGCGGGTGAGATGGCGGGCGCGAAAAAACTGTTGCAAGTGCTGCGAGGGGAGAGCGTGAATTGGGATGAGTGGGAGGCGGAATTAATGCCACGAGACCAGTGCGAGCGCTGCCGGCGGAGGTTGGTGGTAGAGGCGTTCACGAAGTACGAGTTCCAGAGAAAGGAAAGGCCGGCGTTCTGCAAAGAGCGCACGGAGGAGATGAAAAGCGCGGGCGAGAAATGGTGCAAGACGTGCAGAGGGTGGGCAACGAGAGGAGAGAGTGACGACGCGGCACGCCATGGCAGCGGTCGGAACGCGGACGCGGCTGCCGACGACGGGGAAACGAAAAAGATGAGGACAATGTACTGCGCGAAGTGCAGCGGTATCAAGGTCAAGCAGAAGTCGCGGAAAGACAGCGCGAAGTGGAATCAGAGCGTCGGAACAGTGCGATGTACGAACGGTAAGTGCCTGTCGCTATATGACGAAAAGGCGGATATGTCGGAAGCTCAGAAGAAGCACAATGCTGCGGGGGAAAGGCTCTGTCGGAAATGCGCGGAAGAACGAGAGAAAGAGGTGCGACGGGGGAATGCGGAGGCCGCGAATCGTAAGCGGAAAGCCGAGGCAGATGCGAAGCCACTGACGTGCGCGGCGTGCGGAGGAGCGTTCTCGGACACGAAACATTTGAAGCATACGCAAGTGGAACATCATCGAGCGGCGAAAGGAGCGAAAGTGGTGTGCGGAGGCTGCAAGAACCTCGGGTTCACAGCCCGCAGTTGCCAGGCGTATCAGTGCGGCGGCGCGTGCAAGAGAAGACTACCGAAGTCGGCGTTTTCCGGGGACCCCTCCAACGTCGCACGCGATGCAAAAAAGGGCACCCTGATATGCAAGACCTGCAAATTATGCCCAATCGGGGGCGCGCGTGCGGGGGGGGACAGGGGGGAGGGGGAGAGAGGGATGGGGGGTGAGGCGGAGGATGGGGGGAAAAGAATCGGGGAGGAAGAGGATGAGGCGGGGGAGGAAGAGGAGGAGTGGGCGAGGAGAAGGTGGAAGAGGAGGAGGAGAGGGGGAGGAGGACGGGGACACAGAGACGAAACTCTGGGATATGTGCTATGGGTTAGAGGCTTTTTGTATGTGTATAGGGATCTCGCGGCACGCTTCTCGGGGACCTCGGGAAAGCAGTTTTGAACCCACCTGGCGGCCGAGGCGGAGGAGGAGGAGGAGGAGGAGGAGGAGGAGGAGAAGGAGGAAGGGGACACAGAAACAAGGCTCTGGGTTATTGGTTTTGGGTTAGAGGCGTCTTGCACCAGCTTGGGACCAATTCGGAGGCAGGTTTTGCCGTCTTGGGGTCGTCCGAGGCCGACTTGGGAGGCGTCCAGGGCCGTGTTAGGATTCTCTGGGGCCGTCTTGAGGCCGTCTTGGGGCGCCGTGGGGCGATTTTGGAGGCTCTTGGGGTTGCGTGAGCCGACGGAAGCCGGGAAACGCAACAAGTGCAAACATGTTCAACAACGCAATGGATGCCCAATCGGGGGCGCGCGTGCGGGAGGGGGCAGAGGGGGAGGGGGAGAGAGGGATGGGGGGTGAGGCGGAGGATGGGGGGAGAAGAATCGGGGAGGAAGAGGATGAGGCGGGGGAGGAAGAGGAGGAGTGGGCGAGGAGAAGGTGGAAGAGGAGGAGGAGAGGGGGAGGAGGACGGGGACACAGAGACGAAACTCTGGGATATGTGCTATGGGTTAGAGGCTTTTTGTATGTGTATAGGGATCTCGCGACACGCTTCTCGGGGACCTCTGGAAAGCAGTTTTGAACCCACCTGGCGGCCGAGGTGGAGGAGGAGGAGGAGGAGGAAAAGGAGGACGGGGACACATAAACAAGGCTCTGGGTTATTGGTTTTGGGTTAGAGGCGTCTTGCACCAGCTTGGGACCAATTCGGAGGCAGGTTTTGCCGTCTTGGGGTCGTCTGAGGCCGACTTGGGAGGCGTCCAGGGCCGTGTTAGGATTCTCTGGGGCCGTCTTGAGGCCGTCTTGGGGCGCCGTTGGGCGATCTTGGAGGCTCTTGGGGCTACGTGAGCCGACGGAAGCCGGGAAACGCAACAAATGCAAGCATGTTCAACAACGCAATGGAAATGTAATGAAATGCGTAGGCCATCTTGAGGCCATCTTGGGCCGTCTTCGAACTGTTTTGGGCCGTCTTGGAGCCATCTTGGGCCGTTTTGGAGCCATCCTGGGCCGTTGTAAAGCAATGTTGGCCTCGAGAGCGCGAATCCTTCTGTGTGCGCAAACGCAACCCCGCCACCGTGCCTGGGTTGTTGATATGAGACTTGCGCGGTGATCGTTGGGATCTCTTGGGGGGCTTCTCGCGGGACTCTTGGAGGCAGTTTCGAAGCCTCTTGGGGGCCGTTGTGGGGCCGTTTTGGAGCCTCTTGGGGGCCTCTTGGGGCCTCTTGTGGGCGTCTTCGGGGCCTCTTGGGGCCTCTTGGGGCCTTCTGGGGCCGTCTTGGGGCGGAAGGCTCGGATTGTCGGTTCGGGCTCCCCCTCTTGGGCACCTCTTGGGGCCGTCTTGGGGCCCTCTTGGGCTGTCTTGGGGGCCTCTTGGGCCGTCTTGGCGCCCTCTTGGGCCGACTTGGGCGCCTCTTGGGGGCCTCTCGGGGCGGTCTTGGGGTGCTCTGGGACCGTCGTCAACGCCGTGAAGGCTGACAAGTAGTATATGATCAAAATGTACGTTTTCCCATAGGAATTTGACGATTTTCGGCGCTTCGGCCCTTCTGAGGACTGCTTTTGGAGGCCTCTTGGGCCGTCTTGGAGGCCTCTAGGCTCGTCTTGGGGGCATCTTGGGCGTCTGGGAGCGCTCGTTTGGCGCCTCGGAGCCCTCGTGAGCCGTCTTGGAGGAGTCTTGGGGCCTTCTTGGCCCGTCTTGATCCCCTTTTGGGCCCAAAAGAGCCACGTGACGCGCTCGTGCTGGGCCCGGGGGGGGGGGTCAAATCTCCGGTTTTGGGTCCCCGGGGGGGGGGGTTAGGGGGGGGGAACTATCTCACACGCCTAGAGACCCACAAGGGGTCGGCGGATTTGCTTATACATCATCCCAGAGATCCAGGAACTGATCGCACGGGATCTGGCGTTGGCCAAGCTATCGCCACTGCCAGCGCCGGAGGATCAGCCAACTGCACAGGCTTGCAAGCGCGTGCTCGACGCGGTGGCATGCTGGCTGCTGTGCCAGTCCATGCGCACCGAGCGGGTGCAGTATGCGATGCTGCAGCTGCAGAACCTCACCAACGTCTGGCGCAAGACGTCGCTCGATGTGGTCATGAATGAGTACGAAGCCCTGGTTGGCATGCCTCCCGCGGCGCTCGAGCGGATCCAGGTGTTCAAGGACCCCATCGACTTCAAACTGTCGAGCAAAGTGCCCAAGTCCGACGATCTGGGCATGGCCGCGGAGCGCAAGCTAGAGGCCGCACAGCACCTGCTCAGCTCGGATGACGCAGTCGTGGTGAAGAGTATCGTGGATGGCATGCGCAGGCTCGCCGAGGCGGAGGACTACGCTGGCGAGACCGAGGGCGAGAGAGGTCTTCGCCGTGACGGGAAGGGGCCCAAATCGATGCGGGCTCGGAGCTTTTCCGTCGTCTGTGCCCTGCTGGGCCCTCCCCCCTGGGACTGTCAAACAGCGAGTCGGGATGAGATGCCGGTCCCAGGAAGAGCCCCAAGCGAAGGGTCAATGCCGAAACCGTTGAACGATCTTCCCACGAGCCGTCTGATGGCCTCCCAAGCCTCGGGTGAGACACCCGGGGGGAGAGGGACGCACGCTCGAGGGTCCAGGACCCGCTTCCCCCAGGACCCGTTTTCCGTCGCGGCAAGGTCTGGAGACGGAGCAGCAGCGCGAACAGGAGCAGGAGAGGCAGCAGGAGGTCGAGGAGGAGGGCGAGCGCGAGCAGGAGATCCAGATCGAGAAGTTCGTTGACCTCATGCACTGCCGCGACAACGAGGACCCGCGACCCATCGCGAGCCCTGCCCCTGCGGGGCGGACCGACGCTGGGGAATTGGTCGGACAGCCCCGCTGTGGCTTCCACGTCGCTGCCCTGTACCCCTCGGAATTCCGAACCCCGACTGGTTTCTCCGACCTGCAGGGGTACGGTCCACGTGTGGCCGCCTCAAGCCAGGGCAGCCCACCCCCTCTCCTGCTCCTCCGCTTCCTCGTCCTCCGCCTCCTCCTCCCGAGCCTGTCCATGCGCAGAGGGGTTCCCGTGTACCGCTTCCGTGGCGTTCGGGTCGATACTGACAGACCGAGCGAACCCTCCGCCAGCCCAAGAGGAGCCGGAGCCTTGGAAGGTGGAGACGCTGGGCTCGGGCGGTGGCGAGCTGCCAGCGCAGTTCTACCAGGCCCGCGATTTCCGCCTGTGGAAGCGGCAGCCCCTGAAGTCTCTGCCGCCCGAGGCGCTCCTCTCCAGGAGCTGGCTCGGCCCGAGCCGTCCATCGTTCCGCGATGTCCGTCTTGCCAGCGCCCACGAGAGGGGGGTGGCACGAGGGGGCGCGGCCTTCCAAGGAGAGGGAGGGGGCTTCTCAGAAGGCTGCGGGGCCTTCTCAGGAGGCTCCGTCGGCTTCTGGTGGGGGCTTCTGGGAAGCCGTGTGGGCTTCTCAGAAGCCCTGCCGAATCCTTACAAATCCCCCCCTCGCGCCAGGGCCCCTTGTGGGCGCCACCAACTCTCGTTCACTGGTGTCAATCGCGCATTGTATACAGTCGTTCATCGATGTCGATCGTTCGTGTGACTACGTGTTGCCATCGGCCTGCTGATGGAAAGCATGAATTGGTTCAACCCGAGCTGTCAATCGTTCAGCGAAGGCATCGATGTCGATCGTTCATCGATTGTGACTCCTTCTTGCCATCGGTCCGTCGATGAAATACAGGAACTGGTTCAACCCGAACTGGAGCGGCTTCCGGCGGGTCAAGAACGTGTTCATGCAGATGGAGTGGGTGGCCGATAAGGCCAGCCTGCACAGGGCGCAGACGGAGCTCGGCCTGAGCTACGAGGAGGAGCACGAGATGCATAGAAAGATGCACCTCATCTGGGACCTGCTGTCGCGCACCCCGGACGAAGAGGGCGACGCCAAGCCACGCTGGTCTTACGATGTGCACGAAACTGGGAAGCAGAAGGAGGTCAAGCTCGATCCGCCAGAGAAGCATCTGGACGCAGAGTCGTTCCTCCGGCTTCTGCAGGCAAGCTTCGACTGGGACAGTGCCTTCCACTCGCCAGAGGCAGCGCTGGCCCTACTCAAGGATCCCAGCAACACGCCTCCCCAGCGGCAGGGCGGGGAGGTCGACGTGGGCTACATCGAGGCCTGCAGGCTGCTCCGGAGCGGCTACTTTCGGCCCAGGGACGAGGGCCGCAACTTCGTGGTCGTCTCGCTGGCGGAGGCCGAGACGCTCCGGCGGATCATGCACTGCCGCATGGGGCAGCCCCTTCTGCCGCGGCACCCTGGCACGACCCTGGCGCTGCGGTGCATCATGTCCAACAACCCGATTTTCGACGAGTCCAGCGGCTTCGAGACAGGACCCCGCTTCCAGACCTCAATGGTGCACCAGGTCGAGCTCATCCTTTTTTCTCCTTCGGTTTCTTCTGATTCAAGGGGTGTGTGGCGTCCCTTAGCGTTTGTTTGTTACCCCAATCAGTGCTTGTATGTGGATTCCAAGTTGCCAGTGAGAGGCGTCGAAAGCTCCGCGGGTGCCAAGACGAGGTGCAGAATCTGGTGGGGGGCGCGGCGCAAACATATTCCCAAATCTGCGGGTCCAGGTCCGCGAGGGGAGAAGCCATGGTCAATATCGTAGCAACTTCATTCTTGAGGCTTCGCGTGTTCCCACCAGCCGCTTTCTTGTTCAGCCATCTGAGGTTGCCACTGTTGGCATGCGACACAGGTACGCTGGACCGCTTGCACAGCCCCGCGCTATGCCGTGCTCTGCTCGGTGGCACGTTTACCTCTGGCGCCTGGCGCGACAAGGTACAATTCGTTTGTCTTCCTGGTGGTCTCGCCTCTGGGATGGTTGCACTTCGGCCGCCTGGCACACCTGGCAGCTCGCAGCCCGCCTTCAGCCCCGGCGCCGCCCAGCGTCCCTCGGCGGTAGCTCCTGCTGCCGTGAGTGCGCGAGCTTTGTAATTAGGTCTTCGCTCGTAGCCCTGGCTGACTTCGGACGCCGCCTGCGCCTTCGCTTGTGGCCGCAATCGAAAGTGTTCCCACCTGCCGTCATCTGCCTCGGGGCCTTTTTCTCGGTGCTGGCGTTGCAGTGGGCCATGTCCGTGGTCGCCGTCCTCGTGCTCGTGGACAACATGAAATTCGCCGTTTGCATGTTGCACCTCGACTGGTGGTTCTTCCCAGTCTACCGCGTCTCTTGAGCCGCAGCGTAGCTCGTCTCCTGTGTGCTCTTTCTTCGCTTCTGCTTCTTCCTCCGCTTGTTTTCCTGCCAATCCTGCCGCGGAATTTAGGTCGTTACTAGACAGCCGCGTTTCTTGACGGCGTCCGGCATCCCGGTGCGCTTGCGAACCAAGAAAGTGTTCCCACCAACCAGCCCAGCCAGACATAGTTCGCATGCGAAGTGTCGTGAGAGACGAAGACATGGAGGAACGTTCGGGAATTCACTGGGGCACCAGTCAAATTGTTGACGCTTCGCGTATCCCCACCGCTTTTTCTTCCCCATACGGGGCTGGCGGCCGTCTTCGGCGCCGCTCTGACCCGTGCGCCCCCACCACGTGTGGCCGGTTCCCTGGGCTCAGGCTTGGGTCTTCCCCGTGGTGCTCTCGCCCGCCCGTCGCCACTTGGTGTGCTGGCTTCGAGCTCGTGGCCCTGTTCAGGACTTGTGGTGGGTCAACCTGACGCCACTGCGCGCACTGGTCCGTGGTGACCCGCGCCATTTTGGCTGCGTCGCAGCTCCGCTGCTTCCCGCACTCGTGCGTTCTGCTGCCTCGGGACTATGCGGTTAATGCCACCGTGGGATTTGCAGCCTGCCAACGCTCTCGCCTCCTGGCTTTAATTCTCTGACCGACGGTCCTTCGGGCCACCTTGGTACTCACGCAGTTGTCTGGGGTTGCGTCCTTGCATTATTTTCGGCTTCTGGCCCTGGTCGTCGTGTGTCCCGACTCCCTGGTGTCCGACGCTTTGCAGTCTTGCACGCTGGCAGTTCGACTCCGTTTCAGCTGTCCCCCCGCCCGCCGGTCCGCCGCTGGGCTGCTGCGTGAGGGCTCGGTTTGCCGCTGTAGGTGTGGCCTCCCTCCGTCGCCTTAGGTTAATTCGTCGCTGCGTGCCCCGCTTTGACTGGACTCGCCGCCGGCGCGCTCGCACGCGGCCGCTGGGTAAAAAGTATCCCCACCAAGCTGGCGCCCCTGGCAGACTACAAGTGCTCCATATGCGCGCTACACACTGCCTTTGCAGGGTCCGAGGCCGGCCTGGGTGAGGACAGGCGACGCCGCGTTGGGATACATTGGCGGAGGCACAGCCCTCTCCAAGATCGATGTGGCCTCGCCCATGCCAGCGGTTCCCGCGCCTGGCACAATACTGGTCCCGTTGGCCATCAGCGTTGACAGGCTGCAGGGCGAGCAGAAGAAAGCAACCTTCACCTGCGACGGGTGCTCCAAGACCCGGCTGGAGTAACGACGGGACTTGGGAGGACGACGCTGTCAGGGACCTCCTGGCCAGCAACAGACCTCATGCCTTCCTGGAGGGGCAAAACCTCACCTGGCTATGTGAAGTCAGCTGGGTAGCCCGCCCAACAAAAGAGGCATCCCGAGTCCAACGGGAGCGATTGTGGCCGCCAAGGTCCAGGACTACCTGGCGTGGCAAAGCGGCCGGTCATGCGACCCCGCGGCCAGCTCGCTCCCTCCGCTCCCCAGCCATTGGCCCCTGGGCTACGGATGCAACCCTCTCTCCCGGGACTCCAGGACGCTGACCGACCTCTTGATGGTCCCGCCGGCCCAGCTCGGCCCAGATATCGCCAACGCTACACTGCCGGCGAAACGGATCCAAACGGGCTCCTACTCTGCCAAGTGCGATACATGCCCGCCTGGAGGCCCACTCCTGGTATGGAAGGTCGGCGCCCCTGCTCTCGGCTGCTTCATCTGGAAGGCCCAGACCGAGACAGGAAGCACTGAGCGTGCAGGTCTTCCCGAGTGGGACCTGTGGCCACTTTCCTGTTTCGAGCGGAAATGGAACGCCGCGTGGTGCTGCAGGAGGTGCCTGGTCTACATGTGGAACGTCGCGCCAGCAACCTTGGGTTGTATCATGGACCGAGACTCCCGGACAGTCTACCCACAGCAGCCAACAGCTCGCCCGCGTCTCACAGAGCAGGCAGACGGCGACGACGCCACACCCGACTTGGCTACCGAGCTCGCACCAGCAGCGGCAGACGCAAACGCGCCCGATCCACACGCCCGCAGCACGGTCTCAGTTGGCCCAGTGGCGAGCAGCAGCGGGGGCCGCGGTGACGTGCCCCAACCGACTCGCGCACCCGCGCGGACCCAGAGGTCTTGAGGCTGCTCCCAGACCTGCGGCCCCCAGAGTTCCCGAGCCTCCGCTGCAGGCAGATCTCCACGCTCGCCATGGAAGAGGCAAGCGACTCCAAGCGCAGCCGCTCCAACAAGCTGAAGGAGGCCCAGCATATCCTGGTCGCCTACCTGCGGGACTACCACCCCGCGCTGGACGGCTGCTGAACAGACCACGTAAAGGCGGAAGGCGCACAGATCCCAGCACCGAAGGATCAGGAAATTTGCTGGCCCGCCCACCAGCTGACACCCATCCTTGCCAATATCTACGGCGTAGAAATGCCGCGAGATGGTCGTCCTGAGGACTTCCCATGGGGCGGCGAGAGATGGGCTGCAGCAAGAATGGTCGGGCATCTGACGAGCAGTGCGAAGCGCGAGGAGGCCTGGGCGGTGCACTGCGCGGGCCTGGCGCCCGGCGATGGCCCGAGTACCTATCGCTGCGAGCTCGCCGTTCTGGCCAGCTTCCTGGCCAGCCTGGGTCCCGGAGTGCTCGCAGCTGCCTCCATCGCAAGGCTCGCCGAACAAGACGCCCCTGCTGTGGGCCTGGACGAGGCGCACTCGGCATCCCCGGGGGGGGGGGGGGGGCGCGAGGTCCTGGCTCGCGCCGAAGACCGCGGAGACAGCGCCAACATGTGTCGAGTCAACTTCGGGCCCCAAGGCCCGACCCGACGGCGCGGCCCAGCCCGAGGAGGCTGAGCCCCCGCGCAGCAGACGGACCGCGCCCTACAGAGCAGGACGCGTCAGCGACCCTCCCTGTCAAAGAGGCAGCGGTCTCTCCGACAAACCTATCGCTGACCGATGCGGCCGATAGCGATGAGGTCGATCTCGGCGACGAGGCCCGACCAGTGGCCTCGCCGCCGCCTGCCGACGACGCAGAAGGAGCAGCCGAGCATGAAGGCAGCTCCTCCCCACCTTCGCTCGACGCAGCTGGCGACGCGGGCGACGACAGCCCTTTCGATGACCCCCTGGGCGTCCTCGGGCAAGCTGCGGCGGGCGGGGGCGGGGCCGAGCCCTCCAGCGGGGCGCCGGCTGAGGGTGCGCCCCGCAGGCCCGGGCGCGGCTCTGCTGAGGCCCGGGAAAGCAGCGGCTCGCACCGCATGCCAGATCCTGGAGGTCAAGCGGGCGCAGACGGCGCCCCTGGGGGGGGCAGAGCGCCGACAACTCCCGAGCGATGCGGCGCCCATGGGGGCAGGGGGCGCAGCAGGGCCGCCAGCCGCGCCTTCGACGATCTCGTTGGACCTGTGGACGGAGCCCGCGTGTACAAGGAACTGCTGAGAAACGTTGACCTTGACAGGGTCGGCGAGCGCCCAGCAGCCAAGATCGCGCAACTCCAGAAGGACCTGGGTGGCGCGTTCAACGGCGTCTGGCGCGCGCGTGCCAGGAGGCGCCCTTCGGGGCCCAAGGGAATGCCAAAGGGCAACCCCGCGCTGAACTCCGAGGCCTCCCGCCGCAATTTCCCGAGCGCCTGGGGGCGCTCTGGAATCGACGCGTGCGAGCTGGATCGGCAGCTCGAGCTTGGAGTCGACTGGGCCGAGGGGCGCGACAACTGGGTGGGGCGTGAGGGCAAAGGCGGCCACCGGCCAAAGGGCGGCGCGCCCAGCTCACAGCAGTCCTGGGACTGGGACAACTGGTCCTGGACACACTCCTGGGCCTCCAACGACTGGCAGACAGGAGGCAAGCGTGGCGGCGACCGCAGCGGCGACGGGAGAGATGACAAGCGCTCCCGCACGCGGCGGTGATTCATCCGTCCCTAGGCAAACCAGTGAACTTCAGCCACTTCCTGGTAGCGCTTTCTGCCTCCCTCTCCTCCTCCTGTGTCACCTCAGAGCGCGCGGCCTTCAGCCGCTTTCCTGGCCGCGATGCCCCGGTCGCAGTGATGGCGCGGGCAGGGGGCGCCAGGTGGCCAGGGGCCGCGCTGGCAGCCGCGCTCCCAGGAAGGGCAACAGGCAGTGGAAGGTCGTCTGCTCTAGCACTGCGGGCGCGCCCGCCTTTGTTTCACGCTAGTTGCAGCCCGCCGCGCCTGTGCGCGAAGTTCGCTGTGGATTCTTTGCAGAAG